TACCGGGAAAAGAGCCCACAGGCAGTCTGTCCCTGGCTGGACCCTTCTGTCTTGCCTGTTTCTCTCTGTTCCTCCCTTTCCTTCCTCTTCCTGTGAAAACCTTAGCAGCAGACCAGGCCTCTCACTCAGCCTCTCGCTCGGTAACCCCCTCCCTAAGCTCAGGGAGGTGTGTGGTCAGGAGGCTTCGCTGTTAGGAAGGCCGGGTCCACACAAATAACCCAATGGCTCTGACTGGCATTTCCCTGATGACTAAAAATGTGAAACATCTTTTGATGTGCTTATTGGCCATTTCTGTTGTTTCCTTTGGAGAAATGCCTATTCAAACTCTTTGCCCATTTTTGAATTAGGCCCTTTGTCTTTTTATTGCTGAGTTTAAGAGTTCTTTATATATTCTGCAATAAAAGTCCCTTGTGAGATCTATGACTGCAAATATTTTCTCCCATTCCAGGCTCATCTTTATTTCCCATATGGTGTTCTCTGCAGCACAAAAATTTTTAATTTTGATGATGTCCAATTTATGTATTGTTTTCCTCCTTTTTGTGTGTGCCTAGCCACTGCCTGCCTAATCTGAGGTCATGAGCATTTATGCCTATGTTTTCTTTTAAGGATTTATAGCTTTAGCATTTTGAGTTAATTTTTGTCTACAGTATGAGGAAAGGTCCAACTTCACGCTTTTGCGTGTGGATAGCCATCATCCCAGCACCATTTGCTGAAGAGATGACCAGTATCTCTGAGACTCAGTCGTCTCATCTCGAAAATGGGCTTTAAAAGACCATCTAGCAGGGTGCTGTGAGCATTCAATGGGACAGAGAAAAAAAAAATGCCCTGTGGCGGTCCCTGGCACACAGCAGACAATGCCTATAACTGAAGGATCAGACAGTGGATGTGAAATGTTCTGAAACACTGGTCATCATCACTACCATTTGACCAGAGCTTTTCCATCCCTAAAGGTCGTCAGCATCCACCACCCCACCTGTAACCCTTTTCCCAGAACCCCCTCTCTGAGCAGCCCTGGAAATCTTTTTCTTCTCCCCTTCCCTTTTTTTTTTTTTAAGATTTTATTTATTTATTTGAGATAACAGTGAAAGAGAGATCACAGGGGGAGAGGGAGAAGCAGATTCACTGTTGAGTGGACAGCCCAATGTGGGACTCGATCCCAGGACCCCGGGGATCACGACCTGAGCCAAAGGCAGACGCTTAACCGACTGAGCCACCCAGGTGTCCCTTCCCCTTCCCTTTTTTCTCTTACTTTCTACCTTAATTTTGCATTAACTGCTCTTGGTCTTCATTAATTAATCAAATTAAGATTGTTAACCCACTCAAATCTTTTTTGGCAAGTCGGTGGGAAGGTGGGAATGAACAAATCAATCAAGTAAAAGGCTCCTAATTTAAAGTCAGAAATGTGAAGCCCCTGGAGCCACAGGGATCATGCAGGCCACCCCACATGCAGGTGTCAGAGGTGGGACCTGGGGACACTAACTCCGGGGCTCTGCAGTCCCACACTGCACTCCCCCTCCCACCCTGGAGAGATCCTTTTAAATCAGTCTCCCTCCTCCTCGGTGTTTGCAACACCTCCCGATTTAGTTTTCTCTCTGCATTTCATTAGTGTCCCATTTGCCTCATCTTCCTGATCTCTGAGGCGGGCGTTAAGCAGGAGGTGACTGAATGGGCAGCGAGGGCTCCCTGCCTCCTGATTGTGGGTGAGGTGACATGCAGGAGAGGAGAGCGGTAGCCCCAGGGCTGCAATTCTACATGGTGCTCCGGTCCACTTGGCTCAAGCCAGCAAACAATAGCAGGACTCTAGCTGTGCCCCAGGCATAGGGGGAGGGGCTCAAGGACGAGGAGCTGCACTTGCCCTTGACACCTCCAGGCTCAAGGGGATGGCGGGATAATGCTGGGGCTGTGTGCTGCTACAGAAACTGGGCCCACCTGAGCAGGCGGAGTGAGTGAGAAAGAGCGAGAGGTTAGCTGGGGGGAGAAGGGCAGTGGGGCCATTCCAGGAAGGGTTCGGAATAACATACATAAAGGCAGGAGGGTGACAATAGCGTGTAAGCAAACATCGATATGGAATGTGTTGTGGAAAGTATTTGTTTATTCATTCACTCATTCGATATGTGCTTACTGAGCGCCTGTTCCAGGAGTAAGAACACTCCAGGAAACAGCACAAAGTAAATCCCTGCCCTTGTGGAGCTTGTGTTCCCACGGGGGGAAGACAGACCACAGACAAGCTTACAGAGTAACAGATGATGCAGCAGGTGGAGAGAAGTGTCACATGGACAAGAGCCAATGGAACAGGGCACAGGAAGGCCTGGACTGGGAGGGTGGCTCCTTGCACGGAGTTGGGGGGGGTCCCCGAGCCCCCAACACTTCGTTGGGCACCTCTCAGCCTATGTGTGCTCTGCTCCCTCGGATGCAATGTGGAGGTCTGTTCAATGCTGTCCCTCTGCCTGAAGACCTTTCCAAAGACTGGAAAAAAGGCATCTATGCCTTATGCCTTGAGGTGGGAGTGTGTTTATGGTTCAAGGAACAGTGAAGAGGCCAACGGCGTGGGTGAGGGGTGCACGGGAGAGATGGGGTGGGACGGGAGATGGGTTGGCTCATTTAGGTCCTAGTGGGTCACTGTGAGGCCTTTGGCTTTTCCTCTGCCAAAGATGGGGGCACACAGCAGGTTTTGAGCAGAGAAGTGATTCTGATCTGACCGGTGCCAGAGTCCTGGAGAGAAGGATGGAAGTGGAGCCCCATGAGGAGCCCACTGCAATAATCCAGGTACGAGGCCATGGCTTGGACCAGTGTGGGGACAGAGGAGGTGGTCACACAAGCTGAGGAGGGGAGAGAAGTGATGGAGTCAGTGCACATATAACACCGTGTGCAACGGGAGGGATGAGGGGAGATAAGGCCAGCGAGAGAAAGGAGAACATTCTAGACAGAAGGATCTGCCTGTGCCAAGGCTCAGATTTGACCCCATCCTGCCAGAGTCAGATCCCACTACCTTCATTTCTGTGACTGCTTCCCTCCCTCCTCGAGTTCAACAAGCCTTGCTGTGGGCCCAGTTCTACAGGCGGCCCCAACTTGGGATGAGTGACCGACCCAGGGTCCGGCCTCCAGGAGGCCTCCTCTGTTGTTGCTGAGAGCTGTGTTTACATGTGACACCAGCAGGATGCTGGAGGAGCCAGGGGGAGAAAGGCTGGGATGGAGAGTTTAGAGGAGGAAGGGGAGAGCATTTTTCCTGGGTTTCAGTGGCGTGGGGGTGGCAAGGTTCAATTTCTTCTTCCACTGTTCGTGCATTACAAGCAAGCAAGGTTGGGGGCAACGAGTTCACCTTTAGCTTAGTTATCTTACTTCAATGAGTGGACCTCAGTTTTCCTATCTTAAAAATGGGATGATAAGGACTACCTCATGGGGCTCCCTGAGTTCAATGAGATGCACAAATCAAGTACTTGGCACAAGGCCTCAATAGACATGACCCCATTTTTACTCGTCCTTCTACATGAAAAGCTAATAATCTTAACAGCTCTCCTCAGACAGCTGTGTCGGTACGGCTGAGTGCTCCTCCCGGTTTGTACTTCCACGTTTTTCAGGCTGAGAGCAGAAGCTACCTCTGCTTTCATCCCCTGCGCTATCTCCACAGCCTTGCGTGGTGCTAGGCTTATTGTTAGTATTCAGTACGCCTTTGTCGAATTGCCAAATAAATGCCTGAATCAGAGGTTATGTAAGATCTCGGCTTTAGCACTTTTTTAGCTGGAAGACCTCAGACAACACAGTTAATTTCTCTGCACCTCGATTTTCTTGCTTGTTAGACACAAATAATACCTCCTGTGGCAGAGACAGTTACTCTCATCAAATAACCTGATTTCCCCCACGTTTCCCAGAGCCCTAGAAATCAGGCAGGACCATGTGGCTAGTTTGGGCCCGCGGGCTGCAGGTGACTTCTGGACCAAAGCATTTAAGGGCCAGCGCTCTGCCTTCCGGTTCTCGGCCTTGACTGCAGAGACCAAGGTGGCTGAATGTTCCAGGAGGTATCCCTACAACCCAGCAGAGTTTTCATCAACCTGGCCTGAGTCGTTCTGTAGGGCAGAGTCCTCTACCTCCCTCGGTTGGACATGGAACATGAACAAGAAATACACTTTTGCTCTGTCGAGCCACTGAGATTCTGGAGTTACCTTATTACTGGAGCATAACCGAGCCTAGAGACACTCAGACGTCTACCTGGCAAGATTGCTTGGCAGATAAGAAAAAGTGCTTGGTTCACAGGAGGTTTTCACTGCAGGGCTCTTTCCTGGGGTCCTGGGTCCCAAGTCCCAGCTCCTCTGCCTCTTCAGCCTTCTTCATCATGACCTAGCCTCCATTATGATGCTACCTTCTCTAGCCTGAAACATCCTTCCATCTTCCTGATGCAACCCAGGTGTTCTGTACTGTTTCTGTCATTGTTCTTCTGCATAGCCACATGAAGAAAAGCTTCAGAAGGGCCGTTCTGGCGGACTGGCCCAACCCCCAGCCCCCCTGTCCCAGCAGCCACCCATTCAGCTCCTCCTACCACACTCTCAACTATGTCTCTGATCTCACTCCAGCTCAGCTCAACAGGGAACCATCCGACTCTGGACCCTGCCCCTGGTCTCCTGGATTCTGGAATGATTCTGATGGCCACTGCTGCCCCTGTTCCCCCCGCCACCCGCCATGGTCCCAGACCTGCACGGTGCTACCCGGCTGCTAGTGCCCACAGTACCTCCCACCTGGATGCCTAGGCGTTGCCTGCCCTGCCCTCCAATTGTGCTGGCTGCTGCCTGGGCTTCCAGCACCCACCACGCCGCCTACTGCGTCTGCTCCCCAAAAAGCATACCTACCACTCTGGCCTGACCTCCTATTACTCCCCATGCTGCGTAGTGGCCAAAGCCTTCCACCAAAAAGCATGCATGGTTTCAGATTCCAAGATGGCATTTCTCATTAAGACCACAGGTTTGCAGTTGATGACACAGAAAATCAGAGCAGACAAGGGGACTGACCTGGCTCCATGTCAGCACGTTCTGAAGAGTCAGCAGTGTCCCTGGGCCCTGCAGCCCTCTCTCCAGGGCCATCGGATCCTGGAGGACAAGGCAGAATCCTTTCTGTTGAAGCAGAGAACACAGACCCTACTGAGTGAGGTGGCAAGATGCCCTGGACCCTTTCCCACAGATTTCTCCCCAGCAGCCATTGCAAACACATGCCAGTGGGGGGAGGGGCTTGTTCCTGATGCCACAGCAAGGAAGAGAAGCGGCGGGAGTGGGGTGGGGGGACGAGGGGGGTCCCAAATACCGGGTGAATCCCACCGGAATGTAATTCCTTTATGCAGCTTTCCTGGACAGCTCTGGCATACATTCCTCTATTCCCCCATTTCATCTTGGGCTGTGGGAGTAATGGTCTTGTCTGACCACACCCCACAAGGGCAGGGACTGCAGATCAGTCCTCTATACGACCCTAGTACCCTTCAAGGACTTGGAGCAGAGGTGAACTGAGTGTTTTATGAAGATGGACCAAATGGGTGCTGTGGTGGGGGTGGGGGATGGAGGATGGGGGATGGGCACGAGGCCCTGGCCCCCCTCAGCAGTTCTATCATTGGTTCACCAGGCAAATAAATGCATCACTGAACCTCCTTGAACCTTAGTGGCCTGCCCTATAAAATGGCGACCTTCCCTGGGATATACCACATGGGCTTGTGTTGGGAGTCACCTGTGCCAAGTTCCTCACATACAAGAGTTCTGCTCTGGCATATCTGTGTGTCACACTGGAACCTCTAGCAAATATCCTCTCTTTGAGCCTAGGTTTCCTCGTGTGAAACAGGGAAACTCTGAACCTGGTGACTGGTGAGGTCCTCTCTGCCCCTAGAATTCTACGATGGTGAATTTGATTCATCCGCGATCTCAGTGCCTAAGGAGATACCTGCACACAATAAGGGCTGATGAAACGAGTAAAAGAAATGCTACCCTACTCAGAAGAAAAGTAAGGGGAAGCTCTAAATTCTAAGTCATCTGCCTCAGGTCATTGCTGAGGGGGAATGAAATTTGAACACAGGCCCTCACAGACGTAAGATCTGTTTACTTTCTCCTGCACCACATGTCACACCCACTGAAAACACCACAAAATGCCTTTTTATACAGAAGACGCACTAGGCTGAAGAAGGCATGAAGGATACATTTAGGCATCTGAGGTAAAAATTATTTTTTAGAAAATCCCTGAATACCTATTTGCCAAGTATAGGTAGGGCCCTAGCTAAGAAGACAGGATTGTCCATTATAAGGTGAGGAATTAGTGGTCATCTCTACTAAAAATACAATTTTCTGAAGTGTGACACTGTGCTAGCTTCATCTGAATTTCATGTTTCTTTATTATAAATTGTTATTCTGATCAAAAAGGAACTGTAACAGGCAAGAACACTGACCAGGCCCCAGTGCAGACTGTCCCTTCCCCGCCCTCAGGGGTCAGGCTCCTGAACACCCCAGAACAGAAGACCTGCCAGGCAGAAACAGAATTGACGCAGTCTAGAGGCACACCAAGAAAAGCCTTTAAAAATCTCACTACAGTCACTGTAATAAGCAATAGGCAGCACGCTACAGAGCACAGGACTATCATCTGAGGCATCTTGAATGAGCAGTCATGGCTCTCATGCCCTTAATTTCGATTTACCACACCTTGTTCCTTGTAAGCTTCCTCACCAAAGTCTCAGAGAGCCGTAGGAGGTTGTTTTGCTCTAACAATGGGCACTTTCTCCTGTGTGTGGACCTCTCCCCGCAGGCCCAGAACCTGCTGGATTTTAGGACTCAGAGCTCTTGGCTTTGCCGGGAGGGTTTTGCCGGGGTCCTGGCCATAGGCAGCGACTCAGACAAAATACCCAGGGTCTCCCTCAAACCCCTCTCTTTGGTTTTAAAATCCCACTCTGCCCCCATAGCTTCAGGCCACAGCTTGTGCTCTGGAGCCTGGCCTGGGCCTTAGGGTCCCTCCCCCTCTTAGGGAGGCCGCAGACCTAGTTTAGCTTCCCTTCCACCTTCCTCTTTGCCAGGGCTTTAGGGAAAACCTCAACTCCGTTTCTTCTGTTTATTTCCTCTTCAATTCATATCCCTGAATTCCCTCTATTCCGAAGTAACTCCAACAAGGGCCACAATGAGTGAAAGGAAAAGGCTCATGGGTGGACTGAACCGTCTCAGAGGTGCTTATGTAACTAGCATTTGATGGAGGGGAAACCCAGCTGGGAAGGGATTGGAGCCTTCACTCATTCCTTCCCTCGCTCACTCACTCACTTGTTCATGTAGTGAGGGTGAGGTGTCGTACAGGACCTACTGGTGACTCGGAAGCAGATCTTGCCCTCAGGAAGCTCCCAGCCCAGCAAGGAATGATAAGGCCTGGCCCTCTTGCAAGGGAGATACAGATGAAAGCCAGGGAGGGGACAGAGGAGCGAGGAGACCAGCGTGGCTGGCAGATCAGGGAGCACTTACTGGACAACTGTCCGTTTCAGCTCAGCCTGGCGCCAGAGTCTGTGTTAGGTGGGCAGGTACTCTGTCCAAGGGAGCAAAGCACCGCAGCGGAAAGCACGCAAAGCGTGTAGCTCAGCTTCCCAGGATGTGGGCTGTGTGGAGGGGAACGGAGGACGATGCACCTGATAGGGGAGGTAGGTTCCAAAAAACAGGGCCCTGAAAACCGAGCGAGAGAAGATGGCTGTTATTCAATGAGTAATTAGGCGCCACCAAGGCCTGCTGAACAGAGATGTGACATGACTAGAGATCTGCTATAAGAAGATGAATTCGACAAGGCTGGCACAGGATGAGCTGGAAGAGAAGAGGAAGTTCCTCACTCCGTGCCAAGCAAAGGGCAGAGTGTTAGGGACTGGCTGGTATTTGATCTCATGGAAACTCTAAACAACTGCGCTAGGCAAGCATTATCCTTCCAGACTTGCCGGCAAGAAAAGGAGCCTTTAGGGAATTTAAGCTGCTTGCCTCTAATCCCCCAGCTAGGAAGAGGTAGAAACAAAATCTAAACCCTGTTCTTTTTCTTTCCAGGTGAACCATAAAGCGTGCTGTGACCCAGAATGTGAAACCCTACACCCTGATACTCTCAGTATACCTTCTGCTTCCAGAGCACCTTCCTGCCTACCTAGGTGGGTGGAATGTGATTGTTTCCTGGACTGCCTTTAAGAGGCCCCGGGTGGGATGAAGCACAGAGCACCTTTGCTTCTGTTCGTTTTCCCCAAAGTGGCCACAAATCAACGAGATAAGACAATGCGTTGAGTTGGGTCCCAATTACCATAGACTGCAGTCTCCTGCAGAGGATTTCACACGTAGCAGGAGACCATCCTCTTTCCTTAGAGGGGAGTGTTGCTTTTGTCCTTCAGTTCTTCGCTAAGCCATGGTAGCAGGAGCAGCTGACCCAGGAGCCCGGGGTCGGGGTGGGGGGGCATCTTCTGGATACCCAGGACTCTGCTCGGGCCACGTACGATGTCCATGAGGGACCAAGCGTTTCTACACTCTGGGCCGACTCAACTACTTGGGAGGATTGCCCAGAGGACTCAATCCACCTGAACTGGGTAGTCCCATCTGCAGCCTGGTGAAGACCATGGATCATCCTATCAGGATGCCTGCTATTTGGGGAGCCCGGGGGGGCTCCGTCGGTGAAGCGTCTGCCTTCAGCTCAGGTCATGATCCCAGGGTCCTGGGATCCAGGCTGCATCGGGCTCCTGGCTTGGCGGAGAATCTGCTTCTCTCTCTGACCCTCCCCCTGATTGTGCTCTCTTTCTCTCTCTCAAATAAATAAATACAATCTTAAAAAAAAAAAAATGCCTGCTATTAAAATTTGGGTTTTTTTCTAGGGGGGGAAAAAAAAGATTTCCTCATTCTAACTACAGGTCATGATGGGCTGTATATACCTGACAATCAGGAGTGCGCAATTTTTTAGAGGAAGCTAATGCGACAGGAAGAGCAGGGGCTTTAGAAGCAAACAGAGGGGCTCTGGATTACACCGCACCCAATTACCGGCTCTGCAGCCTGGGGCAAATCACTGAGCTCCCTACATTTCCTCATTATTAAATGGGGATGATTATAAGGGATTAGGCTAAATGGCAGACCCCTGGCATTGACATAAGAACATAAAATAATTTCTTCTCCTCTTTTCATGTTCAACATTCTAGGCATCGCTCTCCCCGTGAGGTGGCTCTCCTCCTCACAAAGTCCCAGTTGAAGAAATGGACTTTTGGAGGAAAAAAAAAGCTGAAACTACAGCAAGTTGTATGTATCTCTGACCTAGTGCTTATTACCAACGTCTTCTCATTATTGGTCTGCATGTCTTTCCCTCCCCCTGGCCTGGACCTCCTTGAAGCCAATGACCACTGCATCTTCAATTCCTAGCACACAGTTATCCCTTTCTCCCTTAGTTACCTTGTTCTAAGATCCAAACAAACCACAGAGGCTTCAGCTCCTGTGGGATTTTATTTTCCCAGCCTGGTTTGAAGAGTGACTTTTAAGCAACACCTTCAAGAGCACATCCGATCCTCTGAAAACCATCTCATTATCATGCAATCATTTGCACAGACTACTTCACCTTGTTACCCTGCAAAGAACTTTGGTTTCTAATCTAAGCCAATTATATACGCCAACATTTTCAATAACATCTTAATAATACCAAGCCTCCCAGGTCTCTGGACAGAATCGGACCAGGTCTACCTAACAGGATACTGGAGGGTGCCCAGCAGCAGGAAAAGAAATGATGAAGTATCAAACTGGATTCAAACGCTGACTTGTGCAGTTGGGACAGCCCTGCAGAGGGCGTGGGGCCAAGGTAAAAGCTCAGTAACAGTTAATTTCCTTCTTTCCCCCAATTCCAGAGAAAAGCAAAGCCAGGAAACTCGTTGCAAGTAAAGAGGGAGAGATGAGGACATTCACCACATTCCAGAAACCATTTAGAATATGGACTTTTTTTTTTTTTAAGGTTTTCTCCCTAAGGACTAAAGGAAGGAGGTTATTTCATTTTAATTATGGCAGCTGCAGCTGCTGCTTGCGGACTCAAAGACCAATTTTCAGATTAAAAAGAAAAACACACACACACACAGACACAAACCCAAAACAGGATCAACTGCATACACAGAACA